AAAGATTTCCTTGAAAACCATGAAACTTCTAGCTTTTAAAATATGGAAAACATGATTATTGCAATTCTAAGTCACATTACGTTTCAGTATCCCAAAGAATCATTCTCTGTTATTTTTTTAATTTCTCTTCTCTAGACAGAGTTCATTGTTTAAGGCAAGTTCAGATATAAAAATCAAGGGAGTTATGTATACAAGGAAGCAAAGGAAGATATAATTTGTCAAAATGCAAACTCTTATCTTCTTGCACATTGTTTTTTATCATTATTATTAAATAAGTAGGCATCCTCATCAATCTTTCCTCTCTGTAGTTCTGCAGAGAGGGAGATAGTCATTCATTATAGAATGTTTTCTTATAACTGCTCCAGACATTCACAATGTTATGGATCAGCTCTTTCCTTTTCCCAGCACAGGTTAATTTTCAGTCAGCCCTACACAAGCCCTCTATTAGACAAATTATGAAAGAAATGCAACCTAACTGTAAAGGGAAGTATATTGTCTCTGCTTGGTTACATCTTATTAAATAATTTATACTATATACAGGGGCAGATCCAGGAGGTGCACTGATGCACTTGCACCCCCATTGGCTTCCTGGTTTTCCTAAAGCAGGGGTGTGCAAAATATGGCCCATGGGCCAGATCTGGCGGTTCTGTCTGGCCCACAGGGCCCTTAAAAAAATTTGGAAAAATTAATATTTCTCTGCCCTTGGTTCCTGTCAAAAATGACAGGAACCACAGGCAGTAGGACCCAGGGGAAGCCCAGCAGGCTCCAACAACAGCAGGGCCCACCCAGCCCTGCCGCCCAGCCAGAAGCCCCTTCTGGGGTTTCTGGGCTGGGAGCACATGGCTGCCCCGGCGGCGTGGGAAGCTCAGGTAAGGGGGGGGGCCAGGCAAGGAAAGCACACAGGGGGGAAGCGGGACCTCCCCACCTACACCTGGTGCCCTGCACTGCAGCTGCTTGCAGCCCACGTGGGGCTTCCTGTGCCCACTCCAGACAGCCCCATGCGGGCTGCAAGTGCCTGCAGTGTGGGGCACTAGGCATGGGGTGGGGCCACTTCCCCCCCATGCTCAGCTTTTCCCTGGGCTCCTTCCCTGCACCGAGAAAAGCAGCTCCTCGCCCACCCCATGCCCGGCGTTCTGCGCTGCATGCGCTCGCAGCCCGCGCGGGGCTGTCCAGAGCAGGCACAGGCAGCCCCAGGCAGGCTGTGACCAGCTACAACGTGGGGCACTGGGCATGGGTCGGGAAGGGGCTGCTAAGCTGGCAGTGGGGCAGGTTACAAGCTGGTGCTGGGTGCAAGGAAAAGTGGCCCCTCGCCTGGCCCATGGCCAGCGCCCCACTGACTCATCATGACTCATAATCTACCTGATCTTTTCTAAACTCTTCATTCCACAGACATTAACAACTCCCTTTTCTTGTTAATGGTTTTGATGTTCCCCAGTCAAGCTCTCCTGCTGAAATAGCCAGTCATGGTTTGAATAAAGTGTTATGGTCAGACAGACAGAAAGACAGACATACAGACTAAGGCTTTTATATTATTAGAATTCAGTAGTCTATAGGATACAAGTATAGAGTGTAGTAATGTCCTAGAGCAGCGATGCTCAACCATATTATAAACCCAAAGATATCAAATAGGAATCCATAGCGTCACAAAAATTGTGATGTGTTGGGGTCTTTCTGAGTTCCCTACAACAGAAGAATTGCTCTATTCCTTTTCCATAGTCAAAAAATGAGTGAAAGCTAAGAGCTACCATTCAGGCAAGGAGTGCCTTCGATCTAAAGAGGGGTGCCTTGAAACCAAAAAGTTTGGGAACCACCACCCTAGAACTTGCACGTCTTAGAGATGTCACCTTATCATGAGAATGAGTAGGTTTAGGATTAAACAAGCTTCACCAGTATGGTAAAAATGTATGCTTTAATCATATGAGTTTCCATAAAAATTGAAAATGCTAAAGTAACTGCAGGCAGGAATCATGGACTTCTAAGAATTTTTTTAGGAAGTTTGTATAAGTACCAGTCACAAGTCTTAAAACACGAGGTTTGTTAATTTAAAATATTTATAAGCTGAAGATAGAATTCATCTATGAAAAATGGAGTTAACTGATTGATATTCATAGTTCAAAGGATCCCTAATAGAAAGGTTAGAGACTTAAGCAACTTAAGGCATCTTTATTATTCTAACATTATAAAAGCCTAAGTCTGTCTGTCTGTAACACTTTATTCATGCTCTGACTGGATAACAAACAGCCAATCAGAGTGCAAAGAAGCATTTGGACATGTGGTAGCCTGCTGCCATGATGGTGAGGATACAGGGCACGGAGTAGAGGAGCAAGACCAGCACAGCTGGCCTCACTGCCCCCTGCCCTTCTCCCTGCAGGTGGTGACAATGGAACAGGGGGAGGGCAAGGCCACCAGAGCTGGCCCCCCACCCTGCTCTTTAGAGATAACAGCGGCGGCTTAGGGGCAGGCATGGGCCAGGATGATGCAGGGGGGCCAGGCCACTGGCGCTGGCCTCAGCCTGCCCCTCCCCACTTCTATAGTCACCACCTGCAGGGCCAGCCACAGTGGTGGGAAAGGGAAAAGCAGGCCTGCACATGCTCTTGCCCTCCCCCTGCTGCCATAGTGGGGAATGGGGGAGTGGTCCCAGACCCCAAGAGAAAGAGGGGAAGTGGGCCCAGGCCTGGCATGAGGGGTGGGGGGAGGAGTGGGCCCACCATGGCGGAGTGGGGCATAAGCAGGCCTGGGCTGATGCAGCAGTGGTGGGGGGAGGGGAGGGGAGGGGAGGAGCAGGCCCAGGCCTAGGTCTGCTGCAGGGCGTGTGAGGGAGGACTGGGCTTGAGGAGGAGTGGAGAAGCTGGCCTGCTGCAGTGGTGGGGTGGGAACAGCAGGCCTCTTCCCCCCCGGGCCTTGGCCCACTCCTCCCCCACCCCATCTCCCCGCCATCAGCTCTAAGCCTGCTCCTCCTGTTCCTCCACCGCTGCTGGGTTGACTCAGGCCCACTGCTCCCCCCGCTGCAGCAGGCCAGCTTCTCCCCAACCTTGGGCCCTGTTCTCCCACACATTGGGGCTGGACCCACTCCTCCCCTCCCCCTGCCTCTGTGGCAGGGAGTGGGGTAGTGGGCCCAGACCTCAAGCAACAGGAGGTAAAGGGGGAGTGGGCCTGGACTGGGGAGGGGGGCATGGGGTTCTGTCCCTGCCCACTCCCCCCTCCCCACCGTCATTCCTGTGATTCCTGATGTGCAATTGGCTAATGTATTAATAAACACCATGGATATTACAGCACCCCCCTTCTATGCTCTGCAGCACCTCCCCTCTCCTCTTCCCTAACCCTGCTTTCCATCAGCAGTGCCCAGGGTGCAGACCCAGCTAGTTATGCCTCTGACCATTATTTTGCTCATTTTTTTAATCAAAAAAAGTTGGATTTTGTTGTTCTGCTGACTAAAGTTTTTTGCTCTCATTAACATTCTCCACTTTGCTTCCCATATACCAAACAATCTTCTGTTTGATCTTGTTCATATTGTGACTTGCCACAGTGAAAGAAGGGCAGAGGCTTTTTCCCACCTAACACTCCCCATTTGGCATGGCTGAATACTCTAAGTCTTAATCTAGTGAAAGTGGCTTTCAGCTGAGGACCTCAAGGCACTAGGAAAACACAAACTGATGACCAGATCCTAAAATCTCTCATTAGCTCCGTATTTTATGAGTATTTTCATTGATTTCAACAAAGCTACTTGCCAAATACAAAAAAGGTATCAAACATAAGATACAAGGTGAAAAAAATTAGGAAACCTTCTTTTTTCACATGGACAAACCAAGGAAAGGAAGAAATCAGTAACTTGCCTAAGAAGTTATTCTCTGGAAGAAAATGAGGAGCTGAGTTCCAAGTTCTGTCTTCTAATCACTATGTTTTCAGAGAAGTGCCATAATAGCAGTGTTGAGATAGCACTTCCTCATGGTGGTAATGATGACTCCTATGACAAATGCCCCTCATTTATGAAATATCGTCTCTTAGAAAATTGAAAACAACAGTTTTCTTGCTGTATATTCTTACCATAGTTTGCCATGATGTTGACCGTTAAATACCTCTGGTATCTGTTGCCTGTGACACGAAACATATTGTGCAAAGGGAAAAAAGTAATGCTGATGTGTTTAATTCATTAAGACATAAAGATTCTTCTTTATGTAACGATTAGCTACAGAGCATCTCACTACAATATAGTATGCTAAAAGAAACCAACACTGAACAGCTCTTAATGGAATGGTTTCAATCAATCTTCTAATTATGCCACAACATAGGAGTGCCTAAGTTCTTTTTCTAATCACAAAATTTTCTGTAGAGATCAGAACAATAGATGGGAAAACTATTAGTGGGTCCTGCTATTTAGGATTCAGGTTTTGGCTGATGCCTATTTGGCTTCTTTTTTACTCTCTAATAATCTCTCATTGCCATGACCCCCAAATAGTCAATATTTATGCCTCCCTCAGATAGATTAAATAATGTTCATTCTTTGCTAACCCCACACCATCCAAATCGTAGAACAGCTACATGTGTCTAGCAACATTTCAAGAATAGTAACTTAAATACTAGAGACCATATTTTATCTATGTTTTATAGCCAGTGAAAAATCATTTAATTATCCAAGACCCCAGTGACTTCAAGGTGTCACCCTAAATAGTGCTTAACTTGTAAAAAAGATCACCTATGCTAAATAATCCCTTCTCCTACTAACTTTCTCTCATCCACCATTGTTAAACAGCCATATCAACAATCTCAATAATACATGAAAGGAGAAGAAAATAAATAATACTTTGATGTTTTGAATTCTTTCCTGGGGCTAATGACTGGAGGACACTTGATGAGGTAATATCAGCCAAGATGGTTTTGAACATTTTATGCTTCAATTGAATTCATCTTCACTCATTCACCTCTTTCCTACACTAGAGAGTGAGATCCTGTTATCAAGGAAGTCAAAGACAAAGCTCTGTCAGCTTCAATGAGACAGAAAATCAGGTCCAAAAGAATGTTTATTGCCATGTTTGCAGAGATGAAAGAAATCAACAGTTTAGACCACTTTCTTTAAAACTTCACATCAACGTCTATAAAACTGGATTTTATTTGTATTACTCTTTTTAAGGCACACAATTGTACAGTTCATTCTTCCTTTTCTGTTTTCTTAAAAATGTCTGCTGTCCTCTAGGCTAAATGTATGAATGTTCTTGAATGTATTTCCCAAAGTTCCTTTAGGATTATCATTTCATGCCATCATGTAAGTATGAAGTGAGTTCCCACAAGTTTTCTTTTTTATATCACCTGGTTTTTTCTAGAATCCAGTCTGCATATTCAGCCACTTTTGTATAAACACCTGGTAGTTCTGGGCGAGCACATCCTTCACCCCAGCTGGTAATGCCCACCAAATACCAAATTTCCTCATGTTTGCATGATAATGGCCCACCTGAGTCTCCCTGAATCATATAAGAAAAGGGTGAAAGGGATGGTTCCAGTTAGTATTTCTCTTTCAACGATGGGCCTGATAAATGAAAGCATTCTCATCAGGGACCAGAACCCAGGAGCCCTCCTCTTAGTCGAGTTCTACTTACGCTCCATATTGCTACAGTTGTAGCAGCATTAACTCTTTCCTGCCTGGATCACTGGGATTTCAACTTTTTTTAGATTCAAGGCAACCCTCCAAAACTTTTCAAACTTTAGCAACACCCACTTAAAAAAAGTATGTTACTATATTATGTATACTATAACATAAACATTGTGATTGTTATTAATTATGTTAACACTTGAGGAGACATTATATTCCCCCCACCATGCTACACACCTCCTGCAGAGCCAGATTAGGAAGCAGCTGTGCCAGGACATTTTCTCTTCCCACAGCCCTTCCTGGTCCAACCCTGAAAATTGTCTCCCAGAAACTGAGGCACGTAGAACAGATGGAACACTCTGGCCTGCCTCTATTTTCAGGAAGCCCATTGGAGCCAAACTGAGAAGCAGGAGAAAATCAGGCCTGTCTGCATTACATTATGCAAAACTGAGATGCATGGGACAGTTTTGCCTGGTGGCAGTGGCACAGTGGAAAGTCTACCAGACAGAACTGCCCCACAGGTTTCCATTTGGCATTCTGGATTTTTAAGCATGACCAGCACCCATCAGCTTGACTGTTCTTTAGTCCTGCACTCCCAAACTGATTATCTGATCAACAATTATTCATACTCTCACCTCTGGTTTGCACAGCATAGGCTTTTTAACATGCCTCCACATAATGCTATATACGATACTAATAAGTGGGGAAATTACATTTCAGAGGGGTTTCTTTATTATTGGAAAAACATAATTTTTGGTTCGCTTTTTTTTTTTTTTGTTTTTGGATTGGTGACATACTAAGGAGCTACTGCTTTACTCTTTTAATGGCTGACAATGGGTAAATGTGACTAATTTATATTCTCATTTGATATGCTCCCTATTTGTACTGTTCTTTTTTTATTTACCTGAAGTATTAGCATTTTTATAAGAGTACCAGTGCTGAGCTGCAGGAAAAAAATGTGATAGATCAATTCTACAAGAGATATGTGACTCTTGAATTGAAAAAGGAACTTTTCAGTGCCTACAGTTCCTTTCCATTCTACAGACAGTCATGCCATTTAATCATGGTAACTGCCTATAAATCACTTGGTGAGATAAAAATTAAAATAGGCCTCACAAGTTATCTGGGTGATCATTGCATCTCAGCATGGGAGTCACAGCTTGGGAACTGGGGAAAGAAGGTTCTAGTATGTAGGGAAGAAAGTACACACTGCCTTGATTTCTCTGAAGGGTTCTGCTGATGAGTTCACTGACTCAACAGACTCAGACCCTGTAGTGGAAGAGACTAGAGGTAATTCTGGAGATAATTTTCCTTCCTCGGGTCCAGTTTCCTGGAATCTTCCACTACTGAGCCCAAAAACATAACGTATTTTTGTCTGGATGTTATCTGAAAAAGATTCCATCTGGACTTCATTTTTTTACAATTTTGACAGATGGAAGTAGTAATTCAGCTAATAGTTATTTTTTAGTCATATATTCTTATTAAAATGTTGATAATACTTTTAAAGATGATGCAGAATGTATGATCATGTATTTATTACTCCTTTACCTTACAAGCATCCTTTCCACCTTCTTTATAGCCAGCACATATCACCTTGTTGTTTATTGTGTGCTCTTGATATCTTGACTGGCATTCTTCTTTTGATACTAGAGGAATATTAGCCTTCTGAAGAATATCTTTTATTGGACCTATAAGTAACAAAAGTACAAAATGAGTATCAAAATAAATACAGTAAGCTATAGAAATCCCAGTGTAGAGTTATTACAAAGACCTAGTACCATGCACCTAGATCCCACTCAATCTGAACTGTGGATCAGATTGTATTCATGGGAGAAATCAAAAGTAATTGTACAGCCAGACAAAGAGGCAATCACAGCAAGTCAAAGTTCAGTGCCCGCCCCTCTGGACAAGGGGAAAAAGGAGAAGTCTATCATATGCCATGTCTCACAAATGCCTCTGGTTATGCACCTGAGAATGTACTAGGTGCCCCTGTTACCATCAATGTGATCTCTACAGCCTCTGGCAGACATGAAAGTGCAGCTGCATTGGGATCTGATGCAGAATGTGACAGGAGGCTGTCCCGAGGCCGGTCCCTTCGTCAGCCCGCCCACCTGTCTAAGGCAGTCTGACTCGCCTCCCATGCCTGTTGGAATTAAATAGTTGTTTGTAGGTTAGAGGCTGCCCATTTTATTGCCCTGATGCCAAAAGTGAAATCCACAGCTCCAAACCTCACCTTCCACTGTGTCCCATGCCTCACAGATGGCATCTAGATCCACTATTACTCCCCTGGCTCCTTAGCTGGGCTACACTCAGCCTCTGGCCCAAACCTGGCCTTAGGCATCCTCAGACATACCTTGGCTATATGCCCCTGCAACATGGGCCTCCACTCTTCCCCCACTGGGGCCTCAACTCTTATCTACAATTAACAGCCAATGCTTCTAGGGAAGGTGAAAAACATAGTGACACCTGTAGCAAAAGTTAGGGGAAAATGTCCATCCCAGCCCCACATGGCAACCACGAAAGCCCAGAAGCATGGGGAAAACCAAGCACCATCCACTCACCACTATGTTATAGCCTGTGGACCAGAAACAACTCCATACATTACATATCCTAGCTAGAGGGTGAGAACTCCTCTTTCTATCATCCTGTCCCCTCTGTAAACTTTTCCCAGATCCTTTTATCCTTTTTCATAACCAAGCTGGCTTCTTTCTCCTGATGCTGAGCATTATCACTGAATATATTTGGTTATTGTATGAAACCTCCTTTTTTTATAAGAGATACTGGTAGAACCAAAGAATCTGAAGCAAAGAAGGGGTTATACTATTGTAGCTACATGTTAACCATAAGTATAGCAAAATGAATATCAGAATTGTCTTTAAAAACATCCTTCTAACCCTGCATTTAATCATATATACATAAATGTGAAACAGGAATGTTTAAATAAATCAAAGGAAGCACACATTTAAAACTAAAATAGGGGTATCAGACTCACACATTCATATCATATGTCCATCGCTTGCAGATATCACAAACCCAAATCTTTCTGCATACTGCTGTGAATACTTTTCATATCTGATTTTATACAAATGTGACCATTGTTGAAAAGAAAAATCTCCATTTTTGAGTTGTGCATAGGTAAAGAAAAATAAATAACCTAAGTGCTTGATTTTCAGTGAGTTCTCACATATACTATGTCCTGAAACCTATTTATTTAATATAATCACCACTCTCTATTGCCTGCAGAACATGCACTGAAGTCAAGTTTCACTCACTTTTGTAACAGCAGTAAGGTTTCTAGAAGAAATTGTCCAGTATAAATCTACAAGAACAGTTGTATTCATGCTGGGTTTTTGGTTGTAGCTGTGTTGGTCTAAGGATATAGGCAGGTAAGGCTCTTTGAGTAGATGTGATATATTTTATTAGGCCAACTGAGTAGTTAGAAAAAGGTTCTTGGCAAGCTTTCAAATGCAGACACCCTTCTTCAGGCATAGGGAGTCTCTGCTGGTCCTTGTAAATTATTTAATAATTTAAATAAATGACCAGCAGAGATTCCTTATGCCTGAAGAAGGGTGACTGAACTTGAAAGCTTGCCAAGAACCTTTTCCCAACAACTCAGTTGGTCTAATAAAAGATATACCCTCTACTCAAAGAACCTTGCCTGCCAGTTGTATTCATGCACACTCATTGTTGTTTGTTGTGTACTGGGTACAATGAGATCCACTGTCAATGTGTAGTCAGACACAATAACCATTCACAGGGACAAATTTTACCAAGCCAGATGATCTTTGCAAACATATGTTTCCATAGTTTAAATATTAGTCTGTACCTCTTTCTTGTGCATAACCCCATCCAATCACCCAACAGTAGGTATAAACTGTATTTGCTTCCTCTTTTGATGGCAAGCATATGGGCTGCTGAACATCTAAAATGCAATTTTAAATATTAGTTTGGCCAGAAGAAAGATCTTTAACCACAAGTTTCTTTGTATCCCTGTTGTATTTTTTCACCTGCATTCCATACTAACATTGCCCTATCCCTTAAGACAAGTAAAAGACATTACATTCCTGAACAAGGCAAACTGGGTGGGTCTTTCCTGAGGCGATTTATGTATATTTGAGTAAACTATTCAAGTTTCATGTACATCAGTAAAGATTAAGCACTAAATCATCCCCACACATTTTCAAAATAAATTCATTATAGTGTTTTACACACCAGTAAAGTTCATAGGTTTATCAAGTTTCATTAAAGCAATGTCATATCCAGTCTCTGCAATCACATACTGAGGGTGAATAACAATGTCTTGGACTCTGAAGAAACGTGTATCCTCATTTATTTCTGATTGTTTTAAAATGCCAGTATAAACACGCCAAATGTCGGGACTCTCATATCTACGGAAAAAAGAGAAACAAGAAGTTCTAGGTTCAAAAATTTACTGTAGTAAATAGCCTGTGTGCATATGCCAATGTTTTCTATTACCCCTGGGTGTGTTGTCAGAATGTCAGACTAAAAAGATATTCTTGTCCCTGTTTTGCTTTTTCTTTTCTCCTGTTTTCCTTCTCATTTGTATTCCCACCTTCCCATCAGCTTTCCCTCTTCTTAATGTTCCCATTTTCATTCCTTCTGATCCTTTTTCATATTTCTTTTACCTTTGCCTTCTGATTTTTCTCTATTCTGTCCTTTCCTTATTTTTGTCTCTGAGGGTTTCATCCAAGTACTACAAAAGTCAATGAGGTTATTTCCACTGACTTTCAGGAGCTACATTTTTTATTAGCTAAAATAGAATTGGAAATATAAATTGAAGTAATCATTTAATAGGAACACAAACCTGGCATTAAAAATTATAAAAAAATGTAAAAGAAAAAAGTTATTGTTTGGAGGCATAGATTCAACCTAAAAGGCCCTGTACTAATTACTTTTTCTGAGATTTTTTTTTCATTTCTTTTAATAGATTAGTGCAAACCCATAGACTTGCATCCTGCTTCTGTTAAACATCATGCATTTATTTAAAAATTTATTTATACACAAACTTACCTTCATAATGCAAAAACACTCATCTTAATTGATGTCTATTTATCTATGGTAAATTTGAAGTTTTAACATATGTCTTTGAAAAATAGAGAACTCTAAGAAATGTGTAGTTTGGAGAAAACTACTTGTCTTATGCTCACTATACCAATAGCTACACAGAATTTGAATTTTTTTCAATAAAATTAATCTTTGTGCCAAAAATTACCTGAGAAATTTCGATTGTATCATTTCAAAGTGCCTGAAAACAGGATATCAGAGGTGTCTTCTTATACCAGACACTAGCAGTTATATCACATATTGCAATGAAGTGATACAAAATACTGCATGGTGCCAATTTCCAGTGACTGTGACAATCTTAATTTCATGCCTTTAAAATCATACCATTTGTTTTCATTAAACTAATTTCTTCTACCCATTTATAAGAAGTACTCACCCATCAGTACAGTGGGCAGCTGTTAGAATCCACTGGTCACTAATGATTGAGCCTCCACAGAGATGTTTTTGAGTAGTGAGCTTGACTTGCAAGCTTACTTGCCATGGCCATTCACCAGGAGAAGAATCTGTCCCTCCAACAATTCTTACATTTTCTTTAGGCTGCTGCATACATGCTGTGGAAATAGATTTAAAAACTATATAGAGGGATCAATTTGCCCCAGCATTGAAAATGTATCCACTTCTGCCTAGTGCCTGTGGCTACCCACAGGCATGCAGGTATCCATAGGTACTAGGCAGCTATTACTATACCTTAGTGTTAGGGTAGCTTTACTTGCACTTGCTTGAGTGGTGAATTACAGTATTATTTGAACTTTTCTTTTATATTCAGCCTTATTTAATCATTGCTTAAGTTTTTGTATAGTCTTATTATTAAACTTTTCTTTTGCATATTGTATCTCCATTATCAGCTATAGCCTTGAGCTTGCTTTCAAAGAAGCTTATGTTCTACTGTTATCAGCGTAGGTGTGTAAAATGTAACAACTAAAATTAACTGAATTTAGCACTGATTGACTGAATCAGAGGGATGACATGATTGAATATGTTAATGAAGCATGATAAGAAGAGACCAATTGGACAGTGCCCAACTGCAGAGTCCTTGGAATTTCCAGTTTTGATGGACAGACCAAATTAAGATGTGTGCATGTGATGGGTTTTTTGGAACAAAGTATGCTGACAGAATAAAAATATGAACAGTATGATAATCACAGGAAAACCAATCAATGGTACCCAGAAATGAAGAGTGATCAGAGGAGTTAAGTTAAAGAAAAGCATAAAAGGGAGGCAACAAGGAAATGTGTGTCATTATCCAATAACATCTGGACTGAACAACAGCCAAAGGACTTCTGACAGATGACCACCCTCTATTTTCAGGAATGGTGACTAACCACCAGTCCCTGTGGTGGAGTAATATCTGGGATTGGGTGAAACCATTAGGCTAAGTGTTTTTCTCTCTCTGTCGATGGTCTAATTCTTTTGTTTTAAAATCATACATTTTACTTAGATTCAGATTCTGCTACCTTTATGCTAGCAAAATTGTACCTAACCCCATAAGCAGACTGATCATTGTCATTGGAACAGCTCTTGGAATAAAGAGCATTTGTGTGAGTAATTGTGGTATTCAGGTTTATGTACATTTAAGTCAATGGAGCACCGTACTATCAATAGATTTTCCTGACTAATTCTACACAACTTCATTACATGAAACCTTTTACTTACCAGCGTTAGGTTTTCTTTGACATAATCTTAATGAGTAGCCAGAGATCTTTCCTTTCTCATGCACTATGCTGTTTGGAGATCCATTTGAGGACATTCTTAAGTGACATTTGCATTTTCTGTAGATGAAGTTAATTTAAGGATTAAGTTGTAACGTTTATATAATGCTACATGTTTCCTTCAGGCAACCCTTAAGATGTTAATAAAATGATCTTACCCCTCTTGAGTGCATTCCTGAAGTGGAAAATAAGTAAAAAACTGGCAACGGACCATGTCTGTGCAAACCTGCTGACAAGCTTTGTGTCCCCTAACATAGGTAATGTTCAGTTCATCTCCCAAAAAGTTTGTATCACTATAAGTGCGGGAATGGCAGGCTGTAAGGCATTAATATTGCAAATATCAGTACAACACATTGTTACATACACTAGTGTTCCATTATTAGTTTCATACTTAAAAATAGATAAAATTCCTCATTAGAAACTGGGGAGGGGGTTATATTGTAATGCAATATTTACCAGGAAATGATCTTCTACAATTTAGGAGACTAAAGCCTGACATAGCATTTTCTCGTTGTACATATGTACTTGGCATACCACTTCTTGATGTCTTAAGAAGGCACAGGTTTCTAAAAACAAACAAACAAACAAGTAAATAGATGTATTAAAACATGATTAAAGCATTGAACATGTCACAAATCTGGCATAACAAACTAAATCACACCTAGTATATGTCAGACACTAAATTATACAATGTAACTGTAAGGAATTTAGAGATTATGTAAATTGGCATAGTGCTGGATTCTACTGGGTGACCCTCTGACCTGCTTTCATGAATATTTACTAAAACAGCCAAGATTCTAAGTATTGGGAAGCCAATCTTAGTTTTCCAACAAAAATAATTCCATATACTAAAACTTATGAAAATGTAAGATTCTGTTGCTCAATACCTAAGGTTGTGCATACTGTACATTTCCTGAAATAGCATCCAATTATGCTGTTAAAACCACAGGGGCAAAATGCACAAATAAGTGACCTTAGGTTGTGTATGACATCTTTTTATTTTCATTTCCAGAGATAAAAATAAAGGTGCATTTCCTTGCACCTTTAATTTGCCCAGAAAGTTTCAATGGCATGTAGTTATTTTTTAATTCCTCACTGCTAAAATATTAAAAGCAAAAGTTAAATTTAAACAACAAAGAAATAATGTAATTTTAAACATATTGTTCAGTTTTGTGTAAAGTACTTTCATGTAAATCATATCATAGTTCTGGGTCTCAAAACTCCATTTTGACACTTTTGTAGGGATTCAAATATCAGTTATTTAAAAGAGTAAGGCATTTGTTCCCTTTTGATGCACATTTCTGTTGTGAAATTTCATAGATGTCATAGACATTAGGGCTGGAAGGGACCTTTGGAAGATCTTCGACTCCAACCCCCTGCCCCAGGGGCAGAAATTCAGCTGGGGTCATAGGATGCCAGCAAGATAAGCATCCAAATTTCTCTTGAAGGTGTTCAATGTAGGTGCTTGAAACACCTCCGATGGCAGGCTGTTCCAGACCTTGGGGGCTCGGACAGTAAAGAAATTCTTCCTTATGTTCAGCCTGAAACGGTCTCGCAGTAGTTTATAACCATTCCGCCTTGTCATCCCTTGGGGCGCTCTGGCAAACAAACGTTCCCCCAGATACTGGTGGTCACCTCTGATAAACTTTTAGGTGGCCATCAGATCACCCCTGAGCCTGCGCTTTTCCAGACTAAGGAGCCCCATAGCTCTCAGCCTATCATTGTAAGGTCTGCTTTTCTGATCTCTGATCATGCACGTGGCTCTTCTCTGCACTCTCTCAAGCTTCTCCACATCCTTTTTTAATTGTGGGGCACAAAACCGGATGCAGTACTCCAGCTGCGGCCTCACCAAGGCCGAGTACAACAGGAGAATGATGTCCTGGGATTTGTTTGAGAAGCATCTATGGATGCAAACCAGCATTTTGCTCGCTTTACTAGCAAATTATACACACGGACAAAACATGCCAGAATCTGTACTTTGAGAATTACACTTCACTGAGAATTCCGATAACTATATCAAATTAACACCTTTTAATGTGTTGTTTAAAATTAACATAAGCATTTCTAATATTTGTAATTACTAGAAGATAAAAAATTAGTTGTCATATTCACCTTTGTGTTTCTACTTCCCAGTTACTTGTAAAAAATGTAAAGAACAGGCAATTTGGATGATAAGTACAAACAGTTCGACACACAAAAGTATCAGGAGTGAAAACATTCGTAATATTAGTTCCTGAAAATTCTTTATGTTGAAAAATGTCCAAACGACAATCTGTATAAAAAGAGAAAAAAAATATATCAAGGGTCCAGTGATTTTTTTTGATGGCAACAGAATATTTATATATATCCTTTTTCACAGTTGTCCTTTTTGTTCTATGCTTTTGAGAGATGTAAACAAGAAACCATTTTCATGAACATCTTTAAAAACAAATCTCACATTTAAAATTTTTGTGCCTCTTGATGAAACTTCAATTTATTTCCTGCAATACACAGAAAGTACGGGTGTGGTGGTTGAGTGGCCCCCTACAGGCATAAATTCAAACCCTGCTATGGACTTGTGCAAAAGGTCACTCCCAAGTAATCCATCTGTAAATGGGTACCTGAAAACTTGGTCTGGGAAGTCAAAGACAGCCAAGAGAGTAAGGCTAGTCCTATGTGTGCTAGCCCAATAGGCTGCAATGTTCAGAAGGACTTTTAACCTTTTGAATAGTCAGAAACCTTTTGAAATGTCAGGGAAATCTTTCCTACATCAGTATATGTGTGTATGCTTAAACTAACACTCAGAAATATTTCCCTTAACTGTTCCTGCTACATTTCTGGGAAGGAAACTTTTTTCCTTATTCACTTGTGCACTTTGATTTATTTTTCCTTTATTTTCTCTATCCAGTAGGTGTCATTATAGCTAAAGTCAATGCTGTTTAGTACTAAAGTGATGTTGCTGGTATTTTTTGCCTCAACAGTGTTTAAACTGCTTTCTAAAATCATTTCCAGAGATGATTCCTATCGTGGGACTGGGACAATCTGAAAAAGTAATGCAATACTAAAAAGACCAATAACAAACAGATTAACAAAAGCAACATGTGATTTAAAGACATTACTTGTGAACTAAGATAAGGCTGCATGGAGGCCGAAGAACAATATTACCAACATAAAAAAATAATCTCAGGTAACATGAGGAAGAGAAATAATCTAAACAAAAGTATAAAGCTGGATGTTTTAACTGAGAACAAGAAGGAATAATACCTTGAGTTCTGATCCTGCAGTTTAGAGCAGGAGTCAGCCACACTTTAGAGCAGAGCTGTTTTAATGGAGTTTAGCTCTGAGGATGAGCCACTTCCAACCCAGCCCGTGCTGTCACTGCTGTAGCTGCAGTCACCATTCCCCCTGTAATGCCACCACCGTGACTTTTTCCTGCTACTTAGCCACCATGCAAGCCCCAACAAAAAGCTCTGTCACAGAAGCCCCCCAGCTCTGCAGATTGAATCAAGTAGCTCCATAGGTCATAGGTTGATGGTTTAGAGAGTTTTGCCTTAGAGAACTCCAGGAACAACCTCAAAGAGGACATTAGATTTAGTCACAGGATGCCCACAGTACACAGAAAACTTGCCTTTAGATTACTCAAAGCCAGGGCCAGATCTAGGGGAGGTGTGTAAGGTGCAGTTGCACCCCCATTGGCCCAGGTGCAGATCTAGGGGAGGTGCAACCACTGATGGAAGTTGTAAAACCACAATGGGCCATCATAACTAAATATCGAACTACTATGTATTTTGGGGGGAAAAAGTGCTGTTTTCCCTTTACTTCCTGACTCTGCAAAAGGTCAAAGGCCAATTTGAGCATAATAGCCCATTTTTTACGCACAATCATTTTTAAGCTTGCATTGAATTTGATTGAAACAGCATCTTTTTTGAGTCCTGATATACTGCCTCTGATGGGATTTTCTCATTCAATGTTTCTATGTGTGATATAAATGTAAACTGCAATTTCATCAAAGTAAGTTTATGAGAGAACTCATTAGATCTTCAAACCACAAGACAGTTTTTGTATCACACAATGATAAAAGAGGAAAGTTAAAATGATTAAGAATACATTATTTGAATTTTAGTGCCAAAAACTATTAATGACACAACCACAAAAAAAAACCCAGAAAGATTTTATATTATTGCTTATTTACATGCTGCATATAATATTTATACACATTGAAACATATTGTATCATTGTGTTTCCTTTATATCTAAATTCAATTAATAGAGATTTAAATAGTTACCTGTTTGAGAAAGATGGCAGAGTTTTAATGAGAATCCAGATACAGCATTATTAAGTATTCTTATGCTTGCTGGAGTTCCCGTTTTGGTGTACTTCAAGAAGCACTTGTTACTGAATGACAAAAGTAAAAAAAAATTTTCAGTAAGAAACAGGCCAGATTCCTTCCTCCACAAAGTTGTCTTTACACCAGACAAGCTTAATTTTGACTCCACCTTGCCAGAAAGGGTCAGTGGATAATTCCCCCTGCACATAGCAGCTTTGTGCTGGCAAAGGCAGGTGAACCAAGTCCTGTACATGCCATATGTGCCACTAGTAGGGAATGGGGCAAGAACAGTGAGCAGTTTGCCCAGGCAAAGTTATCCAGGAACTGATCTCACTGAGCCCTGCCAGCTTCACATACCAAAAACTGTACAGCCACTAATTATGCAGTTTCTAATGTCTTAGTACATGATATCTTTCCACTCATTATCTGGATCTTCTTCCAACATATGGCACACATTAGTCTGTAAATATAAAATCCAATGGAAAATTGAGTGTTGGGGTACTTAATCAAATGTTCAGAAGTTATGGGGTACTTGGTACTTAGAAGGTTAAGAAACACTGTTTCAGAGCACCCACTAAAGCTGGACTCAACATTTTGAAGTAGCCCCATGAAAAAACAAAAGGGACAATAGACCTGATAGATTAAGAGCTAAAAACTGACAACCATGGGACAGGATTTTCTCTACATTCTAGTGAAGCTTAGCACTTTATATAATAGCGTTTTACAAACAGCAGTTAATCAACATAGTATTCCTTTGAGGTAAATAGTGATTTTTGTCATTGTTATTCTTCATCACTTGCTATATTACTACCATAAAAATGTCTGTTTGCAAATCGACACAACCAAGTATTACCATATACTGTTTGATAAATGAAAGCAATAAAATGTTATTATTAAACAAATTTCATGCAATTTTTCCAAATAAAGCACAACAAGAGAAGTGAAACAGAAAATCTGTGTTTATGGAATTGGGTAATTATTTCTTTCTTTATTAACATACTAACTAAGGAGACACTTGTGGTGGGCACTGAAACTATAGAGCTATAGAAAAAGAATAGAATGTTTGTTAAAATTGTCCATGAATAATCATCCTCATCACCATATCTATTGTCTTCGATATTGATTTGTTGTTAGTGCTATTATTGTTATTATTTAACAATACATCTATACATATTCCAGCAAAGACGTAATGGACTTTTAGAATTATGCCAAAGATTCAATAATAACTTTAAATCTCATGATTTTTTTTTTACCCTGGACTCTAATAATCATACTGAATAATGCTGAAGAAAAGATGGGGGGAGAGGGAGGTGTGTGCTCTGTGCAAATGTCTGGATCCATTCATACAGAGAGTGAAGCAGGAACAAGTACACAGTTTTCTTAATTCCCTTTTCTATTATATACTTTAAAATAACCTAATAATGAAATATTTTAACATAAAAGTATCTGTTTCTAACAATAACAGTGCCAAGGTATGGTTCTAATCTTGCGCTTTTCATTCATAGATTTCTAGGAACTTCACAAGGAATTCCTTTATCCTATTTTACAGATGGGCAAAATATGAGCTGCAACTCCTGTTTAACTCCAGTATGACAGCTAGTTTCAGTTGAATTCTTTACATCCTCACTGTGTTTTAGACTTTCCAGCACTATAACACAAAAAATTGTCTTTCTACCAAAAGATAAATCCAAGTCAAACTACTATAGCCTTTTTCATGCCAGTACCTCTAGATTTGAATATAACACAAAAAGATAACTGAGATTAAAATCTACATTTCACATAGAACAATACAATGTGAAAAATATCTCTTTAAATAATTTCCCTTTTCTATAATTTTGCTTATGAATTACTGTATTACTAACTGTGCTGCTATCCAGTAAGGAGGATCAAAACTTACCGAAAACCTGCACTGTGAAATGCTCCTGTGGCATATGTAAAAAATTGACAGTGGTGGTCATTGGTGCATCTTTTTTGACACTCTTGATAGCTATATTCAGTAGTAATATTATAATTTATCCCTTGCATATCCAGTCCTGTATGGACGTCCCTGCTGCAACCTGGTAGGGAAAAAGAGGGAAAAAAAGAGCATGCTGAAACATTCTTGTTTTGGAAGTTCCAGAAGTAACCTGGCAGACTAGCCAGATTCTGCATCCCTCCCTCACTTTCAGTAGTGCCTTATTTTGTATATAGGTCCATTAAGAAAATTGAAACTACAGAGTAAGGTGTTATGTGATACGAGTCAGAATGGTAGAACCTGGCTCTAAAGAAGCATCTCTATCATTTCAAGACAAGGGAGTGGAAGAGTGTGAGAGCCCTGAGTCACCTTGATGAGGTGTCAGCCCTGTAGTTTTTCAGAGTAATGGCTACAGCAAACAGCAAATGCTACCCTACGATGCAGTAACCTAGTCCTGTTAGAGTCACAGGATTTATTTATATGCATCACAAGAAATAATTTGGACCAAAGAGTTTGAAATAAATACTTTCCCCAAAGTAGGTTTATTTTTTCCTATTGAACACCCAGGTTGTGTTCATCTAACGTGTTTCTCAGCCAGCCATAGCTGTTCCTTTATCATGAATGCATAGGGCCATATTTAGATTCTGGCTGCTTTAATCAGATACTAATTAAAGTGAATAACATGAAAAGTAACCACAAAATAAGAACTAGTAGGCTGGCTGGAGACCATTACAACTATGAATATGAGTTAAATAATTCCAACAACAGCTTTATAAAAACAGTGAATACTCTGAGAGTTGCAAGAGGGAAGGTGGTGAATACTGAATATGTTGCTTGTCTTTTTACCTAGTGGTTTATACTAGGATATCATTAATATGACATTAAGAAGTAATTCTCCAATAAATATGATTTGTAATGCTCATATCTATCAGGCTGTTCAATTCAATATAACAGGTGTTTTTATAAAAGAAGAAGAGATACAATAAATGCACTCTCATATATATGCCAAATGTATTGTACTTAAATTGACATCTTGATGATGTAACCAACTAATTTTAGTGATGCCTTTAAAATACCTATCCACTGACTAGTCTGAAATATAGTACACTGATACTGAAAGCTTTTATATATATTTAAAGGGATTCATATATCTTACCACTAATTTTGTCGTGGCATTGTTTTAAGGAATGTCCAGAAATTGCACCATCCATGTGCACCTTTGGCAATATTTCGGTCTTACTGTCTTTCAAGTAGCAGGTAAACCTATGTTCAAAAGTTAGCAGTACACAGTTAACATTAGCACCAAAAGCCCAAGCTCATGAGAAAACAGATCGTTTGTAGTTATATTTTCAAGCATAAAGGGCAAAACATGCTTTCAGAGCCAAAACCTCAGCTTCCTTTACACTATTGAAGTGGTGCAAGAATTACAACTGGCTTATAGCAGCAATTAGAGTTTCATAGCATAGACTTTCTGACACTTTTCCAGGAGAGAAGGTGTTCTTGGATAAGGCAATGTAGGCTTAATGCAGTTCCACAGCACTGAAATGCCTAACTAAAGATGTGTCTTGGGAATAAATTGTGCTTTGTGAATAATAGAGTTCACATTGTGCCAACCATCCAGCCCCAGAAACTGGCACAAGAAGCAAGGGGGAGTTCCCACGTTCATACAGAAAATCATAGGGGTTAGGGTCATGAGTCAACAGGCCAAAGGGAGGGAACAGGTAAAAGGTAAAGAAACATCAACACTGTGGTAACATACACACAGCACCTTAATCTCTAACCCCTCCCTATACCTCTGGATATACCCTTTACTCCCTAGAGCTCAAATAGCAGCCTGCAGCTACCCCCAGGTATAAGTCCAGCTCCTTCAGTCCACAGTCCTGGATGACCGAGCCAGCAAGACCTCCAGCTCCACTGTGCACTCCTCTACATAGGGCGGATCAGGTTCCATGTGCACACTGCTCTCTTGCCCTTACTGCAGCCGAGAGCTTCCTCTTTTTTCCCTTGCCCCCCATCCCCTGGGGTTTTCAGAGAGTTGAAGTCCACATTAACAGTCAGCAGAGCTCTGCAGACTGCTCCCTGGCTCCACCTGCTGTTACCCACATTACATTCACGTACAACTGAAGCGGTTCAGAACCATACCACCTCCATGGGAGTTCCACGAGGTCTTTTGCCCTCTGAGAGGAAAGAATACTCTCAAGGCTCAGTAGTTTTGAGGGTACAGTTCTGGCCACAATCCTTTCTGGTATGGTTAGTATCACTTCCCAAAGAGTGAGGGAGAGGGTGGATGGGATGGGTTAGATGTGGAAAGGAAGTGAAAAGCAGAAAATGTATGAATTAAAATGAACAATCCCTTAAGGACACATGGTAGAGCTGAAGGCATCTGGGTTTCATTTCTCCAAACTAGGCAAGGGACTCTTAGCTTTCCAAAGTTTAAGAAATGTAGCTTCATAAATTTCTAAGGAAATGTAAAACTGTGGTAAGAGCTTCTGACAAAGTAAGTTGTCACATGCTCATATTCTTCTGAACCAGTTAGTCTCTAAGCTGCCATTCTACCCTACCTTCTGCCTGGGGAAACCAGGGTAATACATTATATTTTTTCTGAGACGCTGCATGGATGGAGCAATGCTGACTGCCTAATGGACATTACACATCATGTGAAACTTAGCTTTTGAAGACATTACCTTTTTGTAGGGTCTTGAATTCCAGTTGGTGGCAGGTAAGTGAACAACAGACATGTCGGATGGTAAGTACACACAATTTGACAGTAATTGACATTTGGTGTAAAAACTGTCATTACATCGCCTCCTTGGAAGTATGTGTTTTCATAGATCTGAGTCATGCATTCTGACATGGAATAATGAAAGGTATTAGCTTGTGTTATGTCAGGTACTGACTCTCACAGACAAGGAGCTAACCAAAAAAAGGATATAAGGCAGGACTCCACCTCACTAAAATCCTGCTGTCTCCTTATTGCTGCACAGCCTCTCCTCGAGCTCTCTCCCACCTTAAGCTGTGCTCTCTGCCTTCCCAAACCTAGCGTAAAGTTCCTGTGCAGCATATTGTTTCACAGCAGGTAGGCCTGGCTGGCAAGGCAGAGTCTGAAGTTTTTAAAGGGAGGATGCTACTGCCTTCCATACTGCAGATGGAGAACTGCTGAGAGGAAAGGAAGAAAATTCTGGCATGCAAAGGTCAAGTTGGATTTCAAGAATGGGAGAGACATCTTTTGAGAGATCTTAGTGTGGAAAAACATCAGAAGGAATATGTGGATGGAAGAAAATACGAAGTGTAAGAGAGAAAGAAATACAGACAGAGATAGAGAGCGAGTAAAGCTGTAGGCTGCATCCACACAAGCATTGATGTTTGGTTCCCCGGGGACAACTAGCAGTAGCACACCGTGTTGCCGCCAGTTGTCCCTGGAGAATGCCTGTGCCATGTGCCTTCTGGCATGCAGCAAATTACCCTGGGTGTGGTAGGGTAGATTGGGGCCAGCACTGGGCTGGCCACAGCAACCTTACCTGGGGTCCTCCTGGGGCTGCAGCAGTGGCGATCCTGCCACTCAGAACCTGGCCAGCAGCCAGAGTGTGGCTCTGGCTGGCCAGGCTCTGGTTTTGTGCACCACTTCCCTTTTTTTTCTTCACAGGTATTTTTTTACCCCTGGATATTCCACCCCCTCCCCCCGGGATGCTCCCTTGAAGTCCAGAGAACAGCTGAATGTGCAGTATGTGGTGCTAAAGACATAGAGCTTCTGAAACATGTTGAGGCTTGAGATCTGCTGGATCTCAAAGGACAGGGAGTTCCAGAACTTAGGAGCAACTGCTGAAGATCTTCCATGTATTTTTGCCAAGTGGAATTGATGCATTGATGGAACTTGCCTGTGATTGCTTTCCATTGACCTTAGGGATCATGGTGGGGTATAAGGGAGAAGGCAGGCTGTGGGCATATCTAAAAGTTCATTAATATGCCTTTGTTACTGGGCGCTAAGTTTAGTACCTCTAATATGAGGTACTAGATAAAGGCGCTAGATAAAGGCTCATTAACTGTGATGTTTAATGCACAGTAGAGTAATTCTACTGTGCATTAGCACAGTTTTTGCCATGACACTAATGCGCAGTAGAAAAATCCACTTTACACTGAGGTATCGTATATAGATGTGCCCTGTGTTCCTGGCACCCTACTTGCCTTGCTCCAGGTCAATATCTTTAAGCATATTGCACAGCTCCAGGATGGGAACTTCCTAAACCAGAGCACTGGAGGTGCATCTGCACAACTACACATTAGTCTGTGGATAGGCACAATGCTTATTACTTGCCAGGAGTACTTTGCACATGTGACTACCCTGTTTCTAGTTTAGGAAGCAGCCGACACAGCACTGCAGCATGCCTAAGCTCACAATTCTGGAGCAGGGTAATTTTATTTTGAAAACACATCCTCAGATAGCGGGAAACTGCATTGTTTCATTGGACCCAAACCTCTGATAAATCTTCTATATCCTCTTATTCCACCCAGGATCTAGCTCTACCTCCTTCACAAGGACAAATACTCTATAAATGGAGAATTAAATGCTAATCAAGGGGATACAGAAAGAGCAAACTTTTAGAAATAGCAGAATGCATCAGGACTTGTGCAGGTGCACAACTTCAAGCACATCTGTAATCTCCTGTATCAAATTAACTGCATCTATGAAGAGAATAAAGGCTTCTAAGTGGCAATGTGTTCATGTTTTAAAGTTAAAAGAACCAACGTTAAGACATATTTAAGGGCTGTCCAGGTTTAGGAGTTCATTGATTATGCTGCTCAGTGTCGTAGCAAGGTGTGGGGGCAAGCAAGGTGTGGAGACAAGCAAGGTGACCGCCCCAAGTGCCCAAACAAGGGGCTTAAACAGGCGCTACCCAGTTGGGGCAGAACAGATGGAGCTGCAAATGGCTCATTTGGGGGGCCATGGGGATGGGGGGAGGGTGGCTCCCACTGCTGTGTGTACTCCCAGGCAAGCATGGGGGGCGTATGCCCCCTAGATCTGTGCATGGGACGAGGGCAGGCTGCTGCTGCAGGCTTTGTCCCAGGAACCAAGCTTCCTTGACTTGGCACTGATGCTGCTTATTTTGCCCTCTAAAATGGTGAGAAGTATGGCTATTTATACATTGGTAGATGTAAAGGGTTCTTCTTACTTAGAAGAATGAAATGGACTAGAGGAATTTTTTTATTTTATATCAACTGGGAGGAAATTCCAGTGAAATGTTCTGCTTTCATTGTTTGCTCACTTATTTGATAGTATACACACTAGACAGTTTCTAATAATTATATTTTGCATTAACTTTGCATTCATTTTACAAAAAAATGGTTTATTTGCAAGTTTTTTACAATATGTTGAAAAAAAGAAGTGCACCTTATTATTTATGAAAGAGAAGCACTTGTGACTGTTATGCATGTTATTTACCTGTACTAATTTTCTCTAAGATAGAGATATTTATTAACATCACTAGCACTTTCCTTAACTTTGTCACAAAAACAAATATTATTTTCTCTGACATGAAACATTTAATAAGATATATGAAATGAGAGCCATGCAAAATTCTTATGAATTAGATATTCCAAAGATTATTTACCTCCATACAGATAGTTTGAAAACTAGTTTTCTGCCTCAAGAATTCTAAATTAGTAGCGCACATTGATTCCATGGCCTTTAGAGAAAGGTAAGGCTTCTGTGTTATCAACCTTGCTCTCTGAATAATGCATATATTAAAAAAATGTATATTAATCCATCAATCTCTTCTTGTTAAACTATGTTTTATCCAATTGCATTTTGTGTGAGAAGACTTAGTACGTTAAAAAACATAAAACAGCCTTAGGTATTTAGCCTAACTTACTGGCACAGAGGACATCATGGACATATGGTGGACTGTTTGCAAATTGGTTTTGCAAATCCAACAAAGTAAATCATTAACACATGCTGACATTGAAATATGTACACAGTGGTTTTACTTTCCCGTGATGACTAATGTTTAGTTTTTTAACATAATTCTACAGAACCATAACTGACACTTTCAGAGTTATTCACATTTCTAATGATAGACTTTTCAATTTAATAATATGCAACTGTTATAAGTTTGCTTCTGATGGCCTAAACCATTTTCTCGAACATTTCCTAACTTAACAGTTGCACACAAATGCAGTGTGGAAATAAGACCAAGACTTTTTAAAAGCAAATTGCTGGTGTCAATGCTGAGTTTTTCTTCTTCACTATGGCTATGTAGTACCTATGGGTGCTATACGTAAGCTGTTCCAATGCCCTGGAATTTCAGCACGTAAGAGCAGACTTGATTAAATCGAGTCCACTGGAATATGGCAATTTGTGCACTCCAGCAGCCTCCCACATCTCATGAATCAGCATCCCCATGCTTCAAAATTACGGCAGGGGCATTTTATCTAAAGCTCATTGAATGAGCTTTAGATAAAATACACAAGACGCTCTGGGCACTTTAATTAGAGCGTTCCAAGAGCTGCTCTAATTAGAGTGCCTCCCACCCACCCTCAGAGCTCGTGTATAAATGCCCTATGTTGCTATTCTCCATTGTAGAATAAGGACAGAGGGAAAGAGTCATGACCGGAGTTTACTTGCAGTCTGCTGCCATATTCACACTTTATTGTAATTTGTGCTTAATGACAATCTTTAGGTTGCTCTAACTTACCAAGGGTGATTGACTAAGGAGAATGGAAGCATAAAAGTAGGTTATAGGCAAACTAACAAGAAATGGACTCTGCATCCACAGCTGTAGCTGACAATCTTGTGTTTGATTCTTAAAAACTCATGCTAGTTTCATAATAATGGTGTTACACTAGACATACACATAACCTAAACCAGTGCAAAAGAACAGAAAAGAACCAGGCCCAGGGCTCAAGACCAGTGTTTCTATTAAAATTAGTAGACTTATCATGCAGTAGGCTATTATTCAGTGGGCACATCTACACATGCAATCAGTGCACCTCAATAAACTCTGGCACAGTTTGTACCAAAGTCAGCTATTCCCAGGCTCAGCATTTTCACATGTGCCTGGGACCCCAACAGTTTAAGCCAAGGCAGAGCAGCCCCAGGGTGGCAGCAGGCTCAGGGGGTAAGTCCCAGGTTCTGACTGGTGGCATTGGACAGCAGAGGAACTGGCTGGGACACAAGAGTGCTCAAAGTGTGAAGCCATGTGACTGACCTCCCAAGCCTGCTGCCAGCCCAGGGCTGCTCCGCCTCAGCTCAAACTGCCATGATCCCAGTCACCATTCATACATGCTTTCTGTGCCGTAAATGACTTGGCTTTAAGATACTACTGTCCCTGACAGTACTACTTTATGCCAGAGTTAATTAATTTAATGTACCCTAGTGCCGGCACACGTGTAGACAGTGACACTTTACTATGGAGCTAATTAGTCAACTCTGCAGTAAAGCACATGTGTAAATGAACCCAGTGTGCCTACGGTATCAGAATCTGTCTCTCAGTTCATATATTGCCACATTTAGGCTATCATAAATATCATCTCCTTTAATTGTACAAGATATTTATTACTAGAGTTGCCGTATTTTCGATTTCAAAAAAGACATGGGGGGCAACATGGTTGGGGGAAGTGAATGATATGCCTGTGCCCTACTTCAGCCTCTCAGTCCCAAGCCACAGTCCCCTCAAGCCTGCTGCTTCTCCTCACTCCCGATGCACAATACCCTGCCCCCAAACCATGCTGGTGCCCCTTACTCCCAACCTGTAGCCCCCACCATCCCTGCTGATCCCCCCCACTCCTGACCCACTGCCCCCTCATCCCCCCAGCCCTGCAGCATCTCTTGGCGAGCAACGGCACCAGCCCTGGTGTCACCGGCCTGGCCACGCAGGTCCCCAGTACCCCTGAAGGGCCCTCCCACCTCCTTCCCCACCAGAGGGGCAGGAAAAACTCAGACATATGCTAACCCTATTTATTACTCTGTGTATACAGTATAGAAAATATACATAAACTTACCACTGTAAACTGAAGCGATTAAGAAAACGAAATTAAAGGTCTGATAAATCCAAACCATCCTAAAAAATGAATACATGAAAGTTTCCTTTAGGACATGTTTAATAAATTTGGTACAATTAGTCACAAAGAAAAGTACAGATGCATCATTGGGCAATTTACATATGATTTCTCTGTCATAGAGCCCATTAATTACATGTACAGGTATACAAAACAGTTGAAAACCTAGAGGTTCCAGACATACAGTATCATTCATTAACAGACGGTTTATCCTGTACTCGTGACTGCAAAGCTGATTTTAACTCACAAATACTAAGAAAATTCTTCTCTAACATCCAGTAGAGTTATTCTCAATTTATGCTTCATTAAACTGTCAAATCTGGATCAATTCTAAACTTCAATATTTTCAAAGTCACTATCTCCCACTAGAAATGTATTTCCTATATAAAATTTGTCTATCTAATAAAGTATGCAATCCCAGCTTTACTAATAAAATACACATACAAAATAGGTTTTAATTTTGTCACTTCTAAAAAAAAGTTTTGCTGCAAGTTTTAGGAGTATCCAAGGAATGTTTACATTAACTGCATAATGCAGTCTGTAAAGAGATTGGACATTGCATACTAAAAGCATCTGATTTGATAGCTATTAAAATATTGAAACTTACCTGAAAGTACAATAACCAAGCTTGTGTGACTAATTCTGCCTAGGTACAGTCTGCACTAAACAATATAAAGCCCCCCTCAAATTGTGTTAAATGTGACTGCCTGCAATGCTTGCTTCACTTTAATATTTACTTTCAGTGGGTCTTCACTCTATCAATATTTGTTTCTGTTCTCAGCTGGCATAAATCTGTAGAAGCCAGTAGGAATGAACTTCTGTGGGACAGAACATGGCTCATGAGACAAATTGCTGAGTGAATTAAAACAGAATAATCCAAATATGAGGGTTATAGGACAAAAAATGACTAAATACTTTGGGGAGGTGCTTAACTCCTATAGCTCGAACAAAGTCAGTAGAACTAAGCTGATAGACAGCTGGATGAGATCTAGAACATTCATTTCAGGCATTTCCAAATTCTCAAAATCTCCTGAATTTGGCTTGTCAAGGTTATATAAGATATATAGTCATTAGGAGACTCAAAACTTCTAAAATTCTGATTTACAGTTTGATTCAGGACAGAACTAGATTTTGAAATCCCCAAATTTTTCACTGAATACAAATTCTGCTTTCAGCCAGTTCTACTCAAAAGACCACCTCAGTATCCTTCACAAAAAAACAACTGAACTAGAGCACAAAACATATGAGATGTCAGTCAGCTGAACATCTCATAGAGCAATATAAATACTACTCTCATAAAATGTGATGTAAGATGCCAGGATAGTGGTAAGCAAGGATTAAGATGTTTAAATGTCAATATAACTTTTCAAATCTTGCCATCTGAATGGGGGTGGTATGACTGTATCATGAGCGTTGCTTTGAGTATTTTAAGAAGACCTAGCGTGGTGGTTCTCAACCTTTTTAGACCCAACACACCCTTGGAAAGACTTGAGGTACTCCTGGATAGACTCAATGCACCCGTCAGAAAAAGCCAGCTTGTAGCTTTCACTCTTTTTTGGCTGCATAGTAAAAGTAGATTTCTGATGCAAATAACTTGGAAAGATCATAACTCTGGATTTCTATTTCAAATTTCTGGGTTTATCTAGTGAATCTGATAAACCTAACAGCGCTAACATCATGACACCCCATGGCACCCTTAAAAAGATCTCAAAGCACTTCAGGGTGCCATGGCACCCTGATTGGGAATTGCTGATCTAGAAGTTCTGAAATATTTTTCTGTATTTGTAGTTTTCTAAAATCCTTTGTGTAAATGTGCATGTGATCAAAAGGAGAAAGTGAAATAAGGATGCTGCTAGTATACTTGAAGATCTAAACTCTTGAAATTTTCTTCTGATGGCATGTTAGCAGTTCTCTTCTTCAGCTGGATCCAGATGGACGAAGAATCAGTTCTCCCACCATACCAAGTTCTTCCCTATTTTGATTTGCTTCCACCCAAAAGTGGCGCAAGAGAGTAGCTAAAACAACTTTTTCTTCCATCTGTGCAAAGTGTTGGCCTTCACATCAAAATGAAACAAAACAGCTGAAGGGTAGTATTAACAGTCCCCATAATTACATTTCAACATAGCTTTTTCAATAAATACAGCACAGGGATTGATTGCTTGAACAAAAATTAGAGAGCTATAGTTTATAGAACTTGACCCTAGAAAAAAAGTCTCTTCCCTTCAAGGTTTGCCTTTGAAGTATGCATAGTTCCCAACCAAGAGAACCTTAAAGCTGACCTGTATGGTGGAGAAAACCCCTGACACAAAATGGGACTTTGTTTTCTCTCTTGGAGGCCTAAGTGGAAGGAGATGAACTGGGGTGGCAGAAAGAAGGGCTCAGATTCACACCCACTGCACATGTACAGCAGTAGTAGTACTTGATTTGGTAGTACGTTGCTTATTGATCTTCAGTCCTAACAGAATGTAGTGGTGAGCAAGAAAGGGAAGAATGAGGAGATAAAGATTCAAAACAAAGAGGTGCGGAAAAAATGGTTAGAAATAAAACAAAAAGAAATAAAAAGAAAACTAAGCAAAAGATTAGAAACCAGGCTGCTAACTACAGATTTAACCCAAAAGGGCGCGTCCAGATGAGCACGCACATGCCTCTTGCCCCATCTGAAACCCCTTTGAGATGGCACAAGGCACGTGTGCGAATGAAAAAAAGTTCTCCACGCTGCAAGTTTGCAGTGCAGGGAGAAAATTAGACCCCTGGCTACCCAGGGGTCTAAAAAAACCAGAGTTTAAAAAAGCATGGCAGGGCACAGTCCTGGACCATGCCCTGAGGCAACCAGAGGCTGGATCCTCCACAAAGACTCTCTGGCCACCAGAGCATCTCTCTGGTTGGCTCCTTGACCTGGTGCTGAAGTGTGTGACTCGTCCGTGCAGGGCAGGCAGCTGCTTCAGCACCAGGGCTCCAGTGCCAGTAAGTAAGGGGTTGGTGGGGGGCGCTGGAGAAGGGGGAAAGGGACTATGGGGGTGACCCCCTCTGTCCCCCCCATCCCTGCTCTGCCCGGCCCCACCCGCCGCCTGCCCTCCAGACACCCCCGATCCCTTCTCTGCCTGGCCCCAGCCCTCCCAATCCCTGTCCCCACACCACAGCATCTCCATAGGATTTTAAAAAAACCCAGCACTTACCAGCAGTCCAACTGCCGTCTGTATCACTGGGGCCCCGCCCACACAGTTTGGGGCAGAGGGCAGCCCCAGCCCAGGCCCTCATGCCCCCCGCTGCCCTGTGCTGCCTGGGTGGGCTCTGCCAGGAGGCCCTGGAGCCCCCCAGCCCCTGCTTCTAGGGTAAGTAGAGGCTTTTTTTGGGTTTGTTTGTTTTTATTACTATTTTTTAAGTGATGGTGCCTGGGGTTGGGGGACAGCCATGAGGGCCTGGGGGTGCAAGTGGCAGATGGAGCCATGCAGGGCAGCCCTTGTGAGGTATGAAGGAGAGAGGGGTTTGGGTAGGGGCATCTAGTTATGGATGACCTCCTGGCCAAATGGGGCCAGGAGGACATGCTTTGACAGTTCAAAGCAGGCTACCACACCGGGAACATCTTCCAGGCGATAGCTGCCCAGATGGCTGGGCAATGGGCACAAATGGCAGCAGTGCCACACAGAGGCCAACTCTGCAGCCACAGCCAACTGGCAGCTGGCCCAGAGGGGCAGATGCCTCTACTGGCTCTGCAGTCCCCATCCAGGTCTGGCAGGTATGCAGCAGGTCACAGCCAGGCAGCAGCCCCCACTACCAAATTGCTTTCGAGGGTGCAGGGAACTCTCAGGGCTGCTTCAGCAGTCCAGCTGGCACAAGGGGTAGTGTCTCCAGGTACCAATTGGTTGGGCCCCAGAAGCCCCTGAGAGCAAGTAGCCCTGAGCTACTTGCCAGGGCAGCTTTTTGTACTGATGGGGCCAGGACAGAGCAGCTTACTGCTGGGGACAGTACAGGTGCTGGCCCCGGGCTCTAGCTCCCCCCGGCTACAGATCCGGGAGGAGCCAGGCAGGGTTATTTTGCCCCAAGTGGCACATTTTGATCCACAACAAAGTGCACGTCCAAGTATATGTGCTGAGGCAAAAAGCCCTGGCTCACATTTGCACCACTTCTTTTTGAGCTGCTGCAAGCGCACATGCTTGCATGTGTGGATACGCCCAAGGAGGGAAAGGATTGCAAACAGTGTGGAACCTCTAAATTTCCCAGAGCCCAGAGTAGCTGTTGACGAAGGCATGTTTATGCTATTATAACAATTAAAGTCTACTTTCAGCATATGAAAACTGGATCAAAAATGAAAGGCCAATCTCTGAGACTATTGCATATTTCCAGTTTCTGTGTTACTTAGGGCCCATCTACACATTACACTTAATCAGTGATTAACCAGTTACATCACCCAGCCACACATTCAATCAATTCATGGCATGATAAAAGCAAAAATAAATTACAAAATTATTCCACAAAATATATGTGTAGCTGCTTCCTACCACACCATTAAATGAACATGTAGCCAGAGGCCCCTACGGCTGGGGGCCTTGTCAGCTGATTGGAGTTCCCAGCTGAGGGAGGGCCCATGTGCACTCCCAAGCCTGAGAGCTCCCAGCTGACACTGGCTTCCAGCCATGGGAGTACATGCCCCCTCAGCTGGGAGCCCCCCATCAGCTGACTGGGCCTCCAGCTGGGGGGACACCCCATGTTCCCAGCATACCCGTGGCCACAAGGCAGCAGATGAGGCTGGGAGCCCAGGTCAGCTGATGGGGATTGTGTAGACTGAGCATCAGATCCCAACACCTTTACCTACATTTATAGAGGAGCCCTTAGACTTCCATAAATATTTACTATTATTTTGTAGTGAAGGCAGAATACCCTCTCCAGTATCCCTGGGAGCACTGCCAGCAGTGGTCCTTCTGTCACTGAGAGGCCCCATTCAGAATAAAATAAAATCTTGCAACATCATATTTATTTTGGGCCACAGAAGGAACAGCTATCTGAAGGCATACTGACTACATAAATAGTAATACACAGTGTTTCATAGTTGCTATGTACTTTTAGAATCCACCAAAATGTTAGATCTCTCAGAAAAATCACATGAAGATAAAGTTCTAGTCCTGAGGAATTGGCAAGTGTTACTGAGAATACTCAAGCAGAAGAATAAAAGGAGGGATGTTTAAATGTTGCCCCTTACCTGCAGGCCATGAGAGATTGGGACCATTGTATAAATAGCTGACATGCCATAAGGAAAGGGGAAAAGAGATTGTCTCTTGGTGTTCCCTAGTGAATGATCTTGCTAACTGAAGGATTCAGATCCTCAAGAAAACCCTGTTGGTCCTCCTGACTTAGAAAGGAAGTTAGCTTTATGCACTGAAACAAATACCAGTAAGGATGAAACAACAGTATGAGGCTCCCTTGACTCTAAGAAACCTCATGACGAGAAAGAAAATGTTGTGACTTTATCAATCTGATGTGTAAGATACAAATGAGAATTGCTGTGTTGTGGTTATCAAACACATGAGGACTGCAATCTCCATTACCATACAGAGGCTCTGCAATGGGTACTGCAGCAAGGAACCTTTCCTAAAGTAGCCTTGATGGTAAGACTGTAAGTAAGGAGGCTAACCTAGTACACACTTGGCTTTTATCATCAGTTACGCACCAATGCAATTTCTGGATCCAGCAGAGAAGGGTATATATGCATATGGATGCCTTCCACTAGAATTCTCAGGAAAGAATCGCTCAGGTCTGAATTCTTCAGGGTCTGGGAAAACATCTGGATCTCTGTGCAGTGCATAAAAAACAATGATTGCATTTGTGCCTTTTGGTACCTTAAATCCTCCTGCAAGAAAAAGAACCAATAAGTCATGAAGCAATTGATTTTCAGTACACATACACTGGGCACACAAAATATTCTTTAATTATGAAACAACTTTCTAGAGCAGATATTTTCATTACTTAATATAAGGAATAGAAGCACAAGGCTTAACAACTTACTAATATAGCAATCTTGACTCAAGGTCTGGGCAAAGAATGGCACTGAAGGGAAGAGACAAAGGGCTTCCTTAACAACACACTCAAGATATCGTATTTTCTTTAAATCATGCACAGTGACGGAACAGTCAGAGTCACCTACAAAGAATTGTAAAAGGGGGGTGAGAAATATAACTGCCCTAATGAGATTAAATACATTCACCTTCTAAAGAGGCTCCTAGCTCCTTTAAACTACAGCCATTAAACTTAACTGCTTGATTTATGGAGTGAAGCGTTTCTCTAAATGTTTACCTTTTCAATGGTTTTAGATGTTAGGTTACAACACACCACAACACAGGCATAAACAAGGCCATAACCATGGATCAGGTCCACAGTCTATCAGGCACAGTGCAAAAGGACAACCCCCGCCCCCACCACCAAAAGAAAAACCTCCCAGATATTCTCTGCCCCAAATAACCTACTGTTTAGGTAATAGTATCTAAAATATCTCTCATGAGCAGGGATCCTGGTTTTCTATGTTTAAAAGGCACACATTCTCTGATAAAAACTGCAAATTCTCTGGTTTAAACACCCAAAATTCTATGTTTTCATAGTTTCATAGTTAGTAGGGTCGGAAGGGACCTGAGCAGATCATCAAATCCGACCCCCTGCCATGGCAGGAAAGAGTACTGGGGTCAAATGACCCCAGCAAGGTGATTGTCTAGCCTTGTCTTAAAGACCTGCAAGGTAAGAGCCAGCACCACTTTGCTTGGAAGCTGGTTCCAGGTCCTAGCCGCCCTGACAGTAAAGTAGCGCCTCCTGATGTCTAATCTGAATTTACCCTCTGTCAGCTTGTGACTTATTTCTAGTCATTCCTGGTAGTGCTCAGGGAAACAGGGACTCCCCCAATGCCTGCTGGTCCCCTCTGACTAGCTTGTAATAGGCCACTAGATCCCCCTCAGCCTTCTCTTGTGGAGACTGAACAGGTTCAGGTCCCTTAGCCTCTCCTCGTAGGGCCTGCCCTGCTACCCCCTGATCATGCGAGTGGCCCTCCTCTGGACCCTCTCCATGTTGTCCACATCCCTCCTGAAGTGCGGCGCCCAGAACTGGAAGCAGTACTCCAGCTGCGGCCTGACCAGTGCCACA